ATGGATGGATGGATGGATGGATGGATGGATGGATGGGTGGGTGGATGGATGGACAGATGGACAGATGGATGGATGGGTGGGCGGATGGGTGGATGGGTAGGTTTGTGGATGGATTGGTGGATAGATGAATGGATGGGTGGGTGGATGGATGGATGAGTGGGTGGGTGGATGGATGGATGGATGGACAAATAGGTGGATTCCTTTCTGTGTCATTAGAACAAGCCAGTCAACATCTCTGTGGCTTAGTTTTGTCTTCATAAAATGAGGTATTCTGGCCTGTATCCTTCTGAAGTTTACAACTCTGGTGACTGTTTTAGTTGATCGAGCATGAAGGAGAAGAGCCCTCCATCCCGAAGCCCAAACTTGAGCTACCTGAGCGTTTCCGCATCCGGCCTGTGACCCCAGTGGAGAAATACATCAAGGTTTGCAAAGTTATTTTTTAAATACTTGATTCCATAGGTAAGAAACCATGCTCACTCCAGGTACAGGGGACCACCTGCCAGGGTGAGAGCAAATGGTTCACCACGTCCAATCTCCAAGCCCTTTTTCAAGCCCAGACATGGGACACGTCAGTCCACACATTTTAACACACAAGATATTTGCCTTAAGCTCTTCAGAACGAAGTGAAGGAAAGGTACAGGCCATCTATTCATCACACACCCTGCAAAAGCCCCGAGTCAAGCAAGGTTGCAGGAATGAAGAACAGCAGGGATGGCGAGGTGACGAGCTTAGGGAACTGGGGTGGGGATGTGGATGGAGAAGTGGGCAGAAGCTAGATCCCACGGGACCACAGGAGGAGGTTGGGCTCTGGTTCTGAGACAGCTAAGTGTCACTGGAGAATGTGACGTGAGAATTGTCTGTTTCAGTATCCATCACTCTGCTTGTGAGTGGCACATGGGCAGAGATCAGGGAATAAGACTGGCTAGACAACTCCCGAGCAGAAAAGACAGGGATGGGGGTCCCTACCTAGACATGGGTCAGTGCCTCAGAAACTGTGGGGCTCTGGATGTCCCTCGGCCTCTTCTAGGGACCAGAATCTTAGTCCTGGGCTCTACCCTCTGCCCAGTGATGGAGAAGACAGTTTCAGGTTAGGAGAGGAGATGAAAATACAGCATGAAGACACCAGGATGGGGGCTGGGGGGTGGCTCCATGGATTTTCTTTTCCTGACACAGCCATGGGATTCACAACAGACAGGTAGCTAAGTGTATGACCAGAGCGGTCAGTTCTCATCTTTTGCATGAATGAATGAATGAATGCTATCTTGAAGGTTTTTTTTTAATTTTTCTGATCATAAAACAATACTGATTCACTGTTAAAAAGTATTTTTTTTTATAAATACAGCGAAGTACAAGTAGCAAAGTAATTTAAGTGCCCATTCATATCCTTCACCATCGTTCCTATAGGGGGAAGCCCTCCCTATACACATGGTACCAGAAAGCACACCCACCCATCAGAGTTCATGACAGCGTCTCTTGCTCACTGTGCTAAATGCTTTGCCCGGGCATCTCAGTTAATTTCAACCACAACCCGGAACCAAACCAGAATGACTGCTATCAAGTCTCCTAGACTGACATGTGTGTGTGAGAGCAAAGTACGTCTTCTTCCTCCAAAGTGGCTGGTGGGTTGGAACTGCTGACCTATTGATGAGCAGCTCAGCACTTAACCGTTGCACTACCATGGCTCATGTATAAGCACACAGTGGTGCTCTATTGGTTTTTTTCTCTTTTACAGATATTATGCCTTTTTCCCTCTCTCTCCTTGAGCCTTTTTTCTCATAGCAGTTTATCTTGGATGGTGTTCTACCTCAGAGCAGGCAGAGCTGCCTTGCTTTGTGAGTCCCTGCCGGCGACTGGCCTCGACACGGATGTTTGGTTCACGAGGTGGGAATATCTGGCAGTGATAGGGATAGCAAAAGAGGAGACACAGAGACCCAACGAGAGAGACAAAGAGACACCCCGAAACCAGAGTGGATGCATTACTGGCGTCCGGCAGATCTGGCATGGTGAACATATTAACCATGAGGGCAGTAAGATCCTGCATAGCAAACATCTTAGCTATGTGGGCAGTATGTTCCCTTTGCTAGCTGGTCATCCACACATGTCTAGTCAGCCGTATAACACGCCCTCCAAGCTATAATGCATGCCTTGCCAGTCGTAATGCACACCTGGTTCGGCCTGTGCCTCTGTTTTATTTAGGGGAGGTACTTTACACAAAGCTGGGTGGGACTAAGACAAGGCACAGCTAACATACGTAATTTTCCAGACATTCAGGTAGCTTTACATAGTACTTTGCCAAAAGCAACTTGGTTTCTCAAGCTTAATTAACATACCTTTTAGCACCTAGTCTCAAATGGGGGGAGGAAAAGGAGGATTGGGAGGATTCCCATTGTGTTGGCTGCCCAGCCCAGGTTCTTGAGACGCCTGGGTGAATAGGCAGCACCTGGAAACACCTTAGGGAGGGTGGTCCTATTGTCCTTAGAACAAAGACTCAGGGAGCCACCCAATTTACTTTGACTGAATTCTTTAGGGAAGAACTTTGCCTTTTTGGAATTTTACAGTCTGGGCTTTCAGGAAAATATTACATTTATCTGTGGATATCAGGGCTTCATGTATACAATTAATAATAAACCTAGCTGAACACTAAGATGAAAAACAGTTTGCTATGTCTGCTAGGTGGCTAGAGTCTGTTCCTCAGAGCCTGCGGCCTGTACGGTCTGCAACACTTGGG